CTTCTTTTCCTCCAGGTAGAGTTCTCTTTTTAGCTTGTTATGAATTAAGGATAACATTTCAATATTGTAGTTTTTATATTTTGCTGAGAGTCAGAAAGTTAGAATTAGACATTTACATGGTTGTTTTTGTGCAGACACATCAAAGAACTACAGCAGCGGCGTTGGCTATTCGGCCACAAGTAGCAGCATTGGAAATAGTCATTTCTCAGCTGCTGCAAGTGATGATACATGTTTGAATGGAGAGATATTGCCAACTCCAAATTTGAAGATTTTTAATTTTTCTGATTTGAAGTTAGCTACAAAGAATTTCAAGTCTGATTCAGTTTTGGGGGTCGGCGGTTTTGGGACAGTGTATAAAGGATGGGTTGATGAGAAGACCCTTGCTCCGGCTAAAGCTGGAATTGGAATGATTGTTGCCATCAAGAAGTTGAACTCTGAGAGTACTCAAGGATTCGAAGAATGGCAGGTATATAATTGAGATGTTTTGATACAACGATAAAGCAACTTTTCTTCAGCACATATTTAGACTCTTTTTGGATAAAGAAGCCAATGATTTGGCCTTTTCCCTTTATATTAAAAAAACTTTAAATTCACAAACATGGATACAAGTTGAGGACATGGCTGCAAAAATAAAAGATAATGTAGCTAGTTTGTGGCTCGTCATTTAGTCAATAACAAGGAGTTAGTTGTTCAATATGCTGAAACTTTGGGTATCCAATTTCGGTTAAATATCTATAGAATAACGTCTTTGTTTTGGAACATCCAGTAACAGACTTGAGTAATTGTTCCATCTAACAAACTTATTCCCATCATACTTGCTTGATGCAATTGAAGTAATGAAGAACTATGGTAAAATGTGTATGGTCTACGTGAATAGATTTGCATATATGTTTATCCTGTTATACTAATATTCTTCTCGATTCAGGTATTAATCAGATTTCTATTGCTTAATTTGCATGTTGTCAAGTAGAAAACTAAATGTTGACTTTGCTAGTTCACATTGCGCACGGATTGCTCATAAAATATGAAGGATAAGGTTTTAACAAAATTGTTTTGATTTGGTTCTTTGAAGATGCAAAGTTGGAAAAGTGAACAAAAAAAAAACCTAGAATTGAATTGCACTAAGCTGAAAAGGTTAGTGTTTGAGAATATGATTCTTACTCCAACACTGGATATGGTGGTTTATCTGTATATTTGCTGACACTTATTTGAGATGCCGTAAGCACAGAGTCTGTGATCGTTAATTCAATATTACTACACTTTTCCAATTTTCATTTGCCACAAGAATACATTTTATGTTGTCGACACAGTGAAATGTGTCTTAACTATCTATTTTACTTCTTATGACACCTTTTAATAAATTAATACACGTTTGCGTCCTGACCATATCGTCTATAGCCATTGGAGGTAACACGTTTTAACAATAACATTTCTAGTAGGTATATTCATCTGAAATTTTCCATTTTCTTTTTGCTTAATAGTAACCTATCTGTCGCCAGTTCTTCTGATCTATGCTTTCCAGTTAGATTTTTAAACGATGCTTATAATCCGTGTCAATTTGAAATGCAGTCAGAAGTGAACTTTCTAGGAAGGCTTTCGCATCCTAACCTTGTTAAACTACTGGGATATTGTCGGGAAGACAAGGAACTGTTACTTGTTTATGAATTTATGCAGAAGGGAAGCTTGGAAAACCATCTATTCAGAAGTAAGATGTTTGCGTTAGAAATTTAGTCGAACCAAAGCTACTTAATGATATGGTGCACTCACCTGCAATGTGTTTGTTTGCGTAGGGAGTGCCGCTATTGAACCACTTTCTTGGAACTTGCGGCTCAAAATTGTCATAGGAGCAGCACGAGGCTTAGCATTTTTACATAGTTCAGAAAAGAAAGTCATTTACAGAGACTTCAAGGCTTCCAACATACTGCTTGATGGGGTAAGATCTGCTTACTTGTGAAAAGTTTTTCTTCTCTAACTTTATTATACATCTATATTTGGCTATTTGTTGAAACTTTCTGCTTCGCACCTTCTGCTTTGTAGAATTACAATGCAAAAATATCAGATTTTGGCTTAGCTAAATTGGGGCCTTCAGGTGGAAACTCACATGTGACGACTCGTGTTATGGGCACATATGGTTATGCTGCTCCCGAATATGTTGAAACTGGTGAGCATTTTTTTGAGCCAATCTGCATGTGTTCTGAGACTATACTGGAAGCCCAACAATTAAATGATCCCGGATTTCCCTTACTATATATGGGGTCTAGAGTCTAGACTAGCACAAAGTTGCAAAACTAGCTCTGACCTTGACTGAAAGAGCGAACATTGATTTGGGATTTAAGTGGGTCGATGACCATAGTGCTTTATGGTAAGTTGGTTAATGAAGTTCAATTTTTTGTTAGATTCTTAGTGTACTTTTAAATAAAGGTGGCTCTCTCTGTCTGACAATGAACTTCACCTATATATATTCATCGGATATATTGGGGGTAACATAGGATATCTCTATTTTTCCCTGAGGGAATCTTTAGTATTCCCGCTGCATAGCTTTCAGTTAGCCACTGGTCATCAAATGAAATGGGAATAGCCCATCATCTTTACATAACTATTGGTTAGCTCGTTTGCTTTCTGCTCGAACAATTACAATTAGCTAAACAACCTTTTCTTTGTGTTATGCCATGGTTAAATTAGCATACTAACTGTAATTTCTTGCCTTTATTTTGTTATTATCACCTTCTTCATAAGTGATTCGTGAATAAACCTGTAGAACATATTCCAAGATCTTTAGGACAGATTCAATTATGCATGCTGCACTTTTATTAACACGTTTTTGAATATGGCCAATACCATGGCATCCACTTGCAAGTATAGATATTCCATTCATCTCTTGTAGCAGTTCACCTCACAGCAATAAAAAGCAAGAAGCACAAACGCATTTGCAGTATTACACGTTAATTAGGATGTTGTCGTGTTAACAGGCCATCTATACGTAAAAAGTGATGTGTATGGATTTGGAGTCGTGTTGCTTGAGATGTTGACAGGCTTACGAGCACTTGACACCAAACGACCGAGTGGACAGCAGAAGTTGGTGGACTGGGTGAAACCGATGCTGTCTAACAAAAGGAAGCTGAAGTCCATTATGGACGCTCGGTTAGAAGGCCAATATTCTTCAAAGGGAGCAACGCTTGCTGCTCAGATTACTCTAAAATGCCTAGAAGGCGACCCCAAGAATAGGCCTTCAATGAAAGAAGTAATGGACGTGTTGGAACAGATTGAAGCCATCAAAGAGAAACCAAAAGAATCCAGAAGCAAGTCTGAGCATTTTTCATCTCATCGCCACCAACAATCTCCAAGAAGTCGTCAGTCACCACGCCAGACAAACGACCGTGGCTTCAGTGCCGGATCTGGAAAATGACAAGTAGAACTGGGAGCAAATATGAGCTGAAGAACTTGGCCTTTGCTATGTGTTTATAAATTTTCTTTGTTTCTCATTTAGTTTAAAAGTTCATTATTCACTACTTTGTGGCATTTCAATTTTCTTAACTACAATTTTTTTTAATCTTTCACCTCTGTGTTATATCATATATGGCATAACTGTATTGTATGTGATTTATCAAAGGTACTCATAGAGAGCTTGACACTATTTTTGCTTCTGTATTGAGGAAGGTTCAGCAGAGTTAATTGGAGCAAACTTTCTTTTTATTTCATTGCACTGGCAAATGTGGTTGTAGCTGTTAGTTCTCTTGTTTCTTCTTTTAGTAGATTTTCCAGAGTTGTCTATTTGTGCATTTTTTTAAAGTCGTGGAGAGAAAAGTATAGCAATATTTGGTTACTATTTTTCATTCCTTCATCAATAATAACTGCATAAGTTATGCATTAAGGATAGAATATGGAATAAGAATGGGAGATTAATAATACATGAATTAAAATAACTAAATGGCAAAAATTAACCCTCGTAACGGTAAGCAAACCTTGTATTCTTGTTTAAAAAATAAACACGCATTTTTAATTTATACACTATATACTGATTTTAATACATCATACCAAATATCCAACAAGAAGCTGTCCTGATTGCAGTTTGTATACAGTTCAGGATTGGATTTGGCTGATACAAATAGACTATCTCATCGTAAGTCTGTTACAAGAAATAATCTATGCATCATTAATTCATTCCTACATCATTAATTCCTGCATTACTAATTCTTGCATAATTTGTCACTAAACCAAACTACTTAGTTAATTAAGCACCCTTTTTGTCCAGCCAGTTAAGTACAAGTCCACGTATCATTTTCAAAAAAACCTTTTGTGGAATGGAAATGAAAGGAAAGACGGTGAAACTGAAAAGGGCCAAAATTTCCCCTGAATTATACGAATAGAACACTTTCTACCTTTTACTGTAAGAATTTTTGGATTTTTCAATTTTTTTTTTTAAAAAGAATTCCTTTACCTGGAGTTGAAAATAAGGGCAAACATGTGCCACTTTCGCAACGGCGAAATCTCGGATGACCCAAACCATCAACAGAGGGCATGAGTGTCCCATAACGTATAGTGCAGGGGCAATATGGCCCTTTGCCGTTTATGCTTTTTCAAGCCATTCTGACAATATAACATGTGAAGCCTAATTATGATCAAGATCTTCCTTTTGCTATAAAGGAAACTGAACCATAAGTTCACAGAACGATTTGTATGGCCTTCTGTAGTATAAGCAAACCTGAAATTAACAACCACTCGGCCTAACATCGACTGTCTGTAAAAACAACTAAAGATTTTTCATAACTCAAAGAACAAAAACCTGCACATTAATACTCCAGTAGCATACAAACGCTGAAACACATTATGCAGCTATTTGAATAATAAATTCAGTGGACTGAGATATATGACAACAACAACAACAACCCAATAAAAAAGGTAGTGTGTACGCAGACGTTACCCCTACCTCCGAGGAGTAGAGAGACTGTTTTTGATAGACCCTCAACTCAAGAAGACGAAAAGAGACAATAGAACAGTAATAACAATAGAATAATAAATCCTTACCCCTACCTCGGGGAGGAGTATAGAGGTTGTTTCCGATAAACCCTCGGCTCAAGAACACGAAAAGAGACAATAGATCAGTAACAACAACAGAATAATAAATCTAGTGGACTGAGATATATGACTATGGCTGAAAATTAAATAGTGTCCAGAAAATCTGAGGTCGCATGGAGGCGGAGAATAGATAACATTATATTAAACTAATTATGAAACTGACTTTAACATCTCATGTATGGGGAACTCAAGAACTAGATCTTTCATCACTTTCTTTTTTAGTCCAAGTGAAAAGAGAACGGGCAGACGATGAGACGCGGATCCAAGTACTAAAATTTTGAATATTTATCTCCAGCATGATATGACGCTCCCTTGTGTCCAAAATCGATCAATTCACCGAGCCATCAGTTGCTGTGTTGTCCTATAGTCAAATACTGACACTACTGTCCAGAATTTCCAATAAGTCGCTCTACTGCAGCATGAACATTGCCTGCAGTGGCAATCAGTGCCCGGATATTTTCTTGAGTGTCAAAGAAACCCATTTCTTGTAACTGAGTTAGCTGAGTAGCATATAATTCCTCTGGGGGCACTACAACAAAACATCAAGAGGAAAATTGACAAATTGGTTAGTCGGAGGGAAAAAGAAAGAGAGAAATGTTGAAGAACAAAAGAGAGAGATAAAAGTAACCATTAGATCTGTTAGGGACACCCAAGCCCCCCGTCTCAAGTCCACCAAACATGTTCATCAGCATTTCCATTCCGTTGTCACCTGCTGCAATTATTCAAACCACCACACGATGTGAGTTGACTTGAGCAGAATCCATACACAGAAATTGCATTAACTTTGTCCTTCAACCCTGAATTTTATATGGTATTAAATCAAAATAGATTCAATAGTTCCCTATATCCATTGTATCACTGACAATCAATAGCCATCTATTTAACAACCTGAATAATGGTTCCACAGTCAAGAATCCAGTTTGAAACCCAAATTCCATATGTCAAATAAACTAAGATACACAATGTCTCTGCAACGTAGATAACAACATGGACAAATTGAGTGTCTATTTACAAATGAAATGATCTATGATGAGTTTGAAAGTTGAAGGTGTGTATTGTTCTCAGTGGACCCTGTTTGTGCCAAGATAGAGCAAACTTTTGAAACAAAAATGTTAAGAAGAATTATGTCCCCCAAGACAACATTATTTAACGAAGAGACCAGCTATCATGCAAACTAATTAGGAATGACTGATCGCAGCGATACGATTATCAAGTTGGAAGAACTGAAGAATGGGAAGTTTACCTGCTCCACCAGCATTTTGACCCACTTGTCTGAAAGTAGAAAAAGGGAATTGTCAGCACAGAAAAGTAGGAGTAACAAGTTTGTCTTTCTTCCTTCCATATTAGATCGATTTTTTCCATCCAAAGCAAGTAAAACAAGAATATGTCAAGTTCTCTTTTCTTCAACAAGGGTACACTCCGAATGGTGAGAGTTGAAAATTCAAGTGAATAGACAACTCGTGTAAGATAAATTATGAAGCATTTCTCCAGCCAAGAAAATAGGTCCCAACTTACTGGTTTGTTTGCTGTCGCCAAGCTTGAGACAAAAGCCCATGCTGAAAAGTCATAAGTTGCTAAAAAGAAAGAAAAGATATAGAAGTCAAAAAAGACAGATGGATAAAAACAAAGGAACACCATAACAAGATAATCATACACTGATCGAGCGCTATACTCAAATCTCAGACACACATCAAAAGCCCTCTTTTTGCACCCTTGGCCCAATAACCCCACTTAAACCCTAAAGAGCTTCTCTTACCCAACAATGGCAGCCTTACCCCACCTTTTTCTTATTCCTCTTTGTCAGATTTCTAACATAGAACTAGGGATTCACAAACAGGTGTAATGTCATTGTAAAAGAATAATATAGAAAAAAGTAGATGAAAGTTTTTTGTTTCTTGGTAGTTAGTACCACCTGCCATTGTATGTTTTTTCCTTTAGACCATTTGACATCCGATGTTCACTTCTATTTGGTAAACGGTCTCTTTGGTCCATATTATATTTCCTTTTTGGTTTATCTTGCAGATGAATGCACTCCTCTTGAGTGTTATTAATGATAAAACTTTTCGTATTACCAACCAAAAATGAATGGGATCACCCACACTATTCAGTTGCTACATATCATGCACCAGATGCATATTTTAGGCAAGCAAGACCTTCCAACTATGGCAAGAATTCTTTACCTGCATTGTCTCAGGTGATGTCAATTGACGAATAAACTCAGGATTTTGCATCATTTCTCTAAGATGGGAGTTGGAATCGAGCATGCTTCTTAGCTGTGGGTTCAGCCCTAAAACCTTATCACACAGATTAAATGAGAAGCTTGATGAGAACTTTCTGTCAAACAGACAAAGAGGAGCCAAGGGAAAAACACATACATCCATAAACTAAACGACTGCATGCAAATTTTCAGTCAGACCAAATAAATAAATACCTGGTTCATGTACTGAGGATTTGAAAGGAGAGATTGCATCATCTGTGAGATCGCAGGGTTCTGCATCATTTGATTTAGAGAAGTGGTATCTGGCATGCCACTTAGCATTTGCTCCAAACCTGGGGAAGCAAGTCCACCTAAGCCACCAAGTGGTGCAGCCCTAGTATCGGCAACAGTATTTGACCTAGCAGGGGTATTGGCTTGGGCAGCTCCAGCTGAAAAAGTCAAGGTATGAGTAAAAACAACCCAAGCCATGCAACTTATGGAGATGAAACCATATACCTCATACTTATCCAACAACATGACTTCATTAGAAATTATAGTTCATAAATAAAGCAATAACATAATGATTAGCCATGAATCCTAAGAGTACAACATAACTGTCTTTAACATGAAGGATTAAAAATGCTTTAAATCAATACTAAGAAGCTTACAAGAAACTGTGAAATATTTCAATGGACGAAAAGTAAAACGAACAAAAGTTTCTTTTACAGTCAGCAAATTTTAATTAGAAATTTATAGTGCTTTGATGACCATTAAAATTTTGTTATGCGATAGGGATATGAGAGCACAAGTTCTAAACACAAATTGCACAAGTACGATTTCATGGCCAAACCTTAGCAGCAAAGATGCATGAATTATCTCCAGACGCACAAGAGAAAGAGATAAAGTTAGCTACTAATTGCAGGAGAACCTCAAGGTCAACAAAACAAGAGATTAAGTCAACAGTTTAACTATTTCAAGATGCATTGAAGAGAAACAAAAATCAGTGCACAGGATCAAGTTAGATTTTATCTCATGTTACTTCACTTTTGGTGCAAAAAGGAATATCCAAATGAGGCAGAAACTTTACTCCCTCTAAGTTAAAAAGAGGGCTATACAGTTGGCTTTTTTGCTCACTTGTACAGAAATCTTCAAATCTCAGCACTACCTTTGTGCTGGTTTATGACTACAATTATTGCCATTTCAATTTCCTTTATAAAAAAAAGGTAAACAGTTTAACTCTAGCTAGTCAAAAACAATTAAAGAACAAGAGCTGGTAAAAACTAACTGCCTGCAGATGCCCAAGGATTAGGAAGTGGATTAGTATTAGGAGCAGGCGGATTATCAGTTGTCTCAGAACCGGAAGTTGGAGGATTATTTGACTGGTGTCTGCCTTGCCCACCACCTTGTGCTCCCAAAAGAGCTGCAAACGGGTTAGACCCCACATCATTTCTCGTATCTCCAGACAACGTTGTTGCATTTAGGAGTGGCTCTTGGACATTTTCGTACATACGCCTCAGCATGTTAAATCCCTCAGGAGAAGATTCAATATTGCTCATGGCCCTGTCAGTATTGCGCATCATCTCACGCATAAGTTCAGGGTTTCGTGCAGCCTCCATTGTCTGTCGAAGAGTAGCAGGATCATTGAGTACGTGAGCAAGCTCGGGATTACGCTCCATGATCTCTCGCATTTGGGGATTATTCATGATCATGTTACGAATGGTTTCAGGGTTATTCATTAAATTCTGAACAAGAGGCATATTCAACATATCTCTCATCATGTTGGGGTTTTGAGTCAACTGCTGCTGGACCTGCTCAAAATCTGGAAGTCCAGCTCCAAACAAACCACCACCACCACCACTTCCAAGACCAGGAAACAGTGAAACTCCCAGGCCTGATCCCGGAAATGGCCCACCTACATTTGAAGCAGCATCTCTTGGTGCATGCTGATCTGTATTTGGACCTCCAGCATTGGTTGAACTTGCAGGGTTTGCAGAGGGAGCTGGGCCAGAACCTCGAATTAAATGCACAGTGTGATCCGCCTCCAGACCTATCAAGCACAAAGTTAAAATAAGCTAGATAACTAAGATTACCACTCTGATAGCTTGATAAAATGTGAATGCAGATACGATAGCAGATGCAAGAGAAGCCCCGCACCGGAGTTGCTAATAGTTTAACAATTCTATACGCTAATCTTGAACATTTTTGAAGTGATTATTAACCAATAGTGATCAACTTGACATGTGTCAGAGTATCTTCATGTAACAAACAATGCAGACTTAGAAGTTAACCACAGGGAAAAGAAGATATTCCGTCCATGCAAAACTGAGCATCCCAAGGAGGGTGGAACCACACATTACATTCAACAAAGAGTCACAAAAGCCCCACTTTTACACCCTTCTCACTCAATAAGAAAAAGAAGATATTCCATCAATACCAAACTGAGTATGCCCAGAAATGTGGAATCACACATTACATTCAACAAAAAGTTGCAGAAGCCACACTTTTCACCCATCTCGCATCACAGTTTTGCAATTCTAATAATATTAAACCAAAAAATTCCAATGGCATCACATCTTTCCTCTATGTAATAATCCGTTTTTCCAATCAAAACTTGTACAAAGTCAAACATTATGATAGAATGAACATTGTAATGTAACAGAATAGACCTTAAGTCTCTTAGAATTTACAATTTTTGGCACTTTCGGAAAAAATTACCAAATGTATGGTTTTGAGTTTTATCTTCTATGCAAAAAATGTAATAAACACAGATCCTTCTTTTCAGACAATTTATAATAACATTTTGAATTCCTGAAAGACCGGGTAAGACGCTTTTTAGTTATAAATGGTCTACTAATACAGTATAGTTTAACAATAGCTTCCCATAAGTCAAAGCAATTACTTAGAACCTTCTAATTACCCCCTCAATCTGTCAGACACTTGAGGCTACAGCAGTGTACACATCCTACTATTCAGTTTCCAAATTGCTGTCACTAAGTCGAGTCAAACAAGATACTACTCCATCTCCCGTGTCAGCATGTGCAACATTAGTACGTAACAATCCAACATCAGCATAGAACTTCCAATCAATCGATTTCAAAACTAGGACTACCCCTCTAATATGGCAAACAGCTCGTGCACGCATTCTTGCACATTGAACAAATTATTAATCCACTCCTCCCAAGCAGCAGCTCTCTTTCACCCTGGTAAAACGTTATCAAGTAAACCAAATGCCCATGTTCTTTTTATCAAGAAAAGACCCACGTTGTTTAACAGTAGATACCAAAAGGATATTAGCAAACAATACTATTTGCCACACATATTGAAGCCAATAAAGCTCATTTTCTTCATCTTTGCTCACCTTCAGTGGATAAGCCCCAAATCCAATTATCAGACAGTAAAAGCATTACCAGTCCCATTACAAGCATAATAATAGGTACAGATTACATATTATAACCTAAAAAAAATCACAGGAGCAACTACTACTATGCCTCTATTCCAAGCTAGTTAGGGGCGGCCAACTTAATCCTCAATATCTATTCCACTCCTCCATTTGTCGATTTCACTCTAATACTCAATAGTTTAATACAAGAGTCCATAATTACATTAAATTCATTTTCCTTTTCAAAAAGTATAAATAAATACAAGAGCTCATAACCAAATCAAAATCGCAAGTTATCAATCCCCTATCCGAAGAAATGTTTATGACCATACGGGAGGCTCTTCCCCCGATCCTGCACATACGCGGGATGCCTTGTGCACCGGACTGCCCGTTTACCGAAATCAACCAAGAAGGTCGGGGGATTTGAATAAAACAAAGGGAGACACGGACAGTCAGGAATCTGGATTAATGAACTTGAACGGTGATTTAAGGGAGTAAGTATAACAATCTAGCTGAAGGGGAGAGAAAGGCATAACACAGAATTCCGGTTTTTCCCAATCCTTCACACCATTCTTCTGATTTCCTTTCTCCTCTTCTCAATTCTTCTAATTTCTACAGATTCGCAAGCTTCATCTAGTTGTTCAAAGTTCAATTTTCATTATTGTTTATTTCTCTTTCAGTTCAATTACCTTTGTGGTTTTTTTTTTAAAAAAAATATTGAGTAGGCCAAAATAGAGTAATTAGGAGTGCAAATTCAGTGATAGGATGCATGAAGCAGGAGTGGAAGTGAAGATTGATACACAAGTCATCCCAAAAGGGATAGTTTCAAGTACCTTGGATCTGTAATCCAAGGCAACATGGAGATTGACAAGGATGTTATTCGTAGAATTGGAGNCAAGTTTTACAGAGTGATGATTAGACCGACTATGTTGTATGGGGCTGAGTGTTGGCCCGTCAAGAAGCCACATGTCCAGAAGATGAAGGCAGCTGAAATGAGGATGTTAGATGGATGTGTAGACATACCAGCAAAGACAAGATTAGGAACAAGGTTATTAGAGACAAGGTGGGAGTGGCATCTGTAGAGGACAAAATGCGGGAATCGAGGTTGAAATGGTTCGGCATGTTCAAAGGAGAGACATAGATGCCCGGGTCAAGAGATGTGAGAGGATGACCATGGCGGATCTGAGGAAGGGTAGAGATAGCCCAAAGAAGTACTGGGGTGAGGTGATTAGGCAGGTCATTGCTCCAGCTTACCGAGGACACGACCCTCGATAGGAAAGGATGGAGGTCGAGAATTAGGGTTGAAGGTTGACATGTAGTCGTTAGTGTCTCTTAGGCTTACCAGTAGTACTATTACTATTCTTGTATTTTCTTATTCCTTGTTCTTTATTATTACATGGTGTGTCATTCGCTTCGGTTACCTTATTTCATTGTTGTTTCTATTGTTTGTTGCTTTATTTTCACTGTTCCTTGAGTCGAAGGTCTATCGGAAACAACTTTTCTACCTTCACAAGATAAGGGTAAGGTTTGCGTACATATTACTCTCTCCAGACCCCACCTATGGGATAACACTAGGTTTGTAGTTGTTTTATGGTAACCTAAACCTACCAACCCCTCTTCCCTAGAGGTCAAAAGTGGCCATCTCCGTTTTGCTCCCTTGATGAATGACTTGAACTCCCAACCTCAAGGTCGGAGGTGGAGGGAGCTTTCCAATTAAGTTATCCTTTCTAGTCCCTTTGTTGTTTGAATTTTTTTTTTAATGAAGTAATTGTCTTCAATAAGGGCATCAAGAAGATGCAAAATAGTTAGAAAATAGAAGCAAAAAAGCAAAAGACTTGTTAGTTCCATCACACACAATAAAACCTTGAGGAAGAGTTGAACAAGTTGGTTCAAAAGGGATCCGTTGAAGAGTACCTTGAGAAGGTTGGAGTCCTTGGAGTACAGATGATGATCCACACTCCAACACTCAATGATGCCTACTTCCTTTCAAGATTCACAGGTGGACTCAAAAAGAAATTAAGATGGCTATCAGGTATTTCGAGGAACCACTTTGACAAGGCAGTTAAGCAGGCAAGGTCGCAAGAAAGGCTACTGACGCTTACCTAAAAAGAAGCAAAGTGGTCTTTAAAACTTCTACCCCCTAGCTGCATTCTCAGCCCATTCATAAGCCTAGTCAGCATACTACAATCTAAATATGCTGGAAATTGATCAATGACAGTGTAGTTGATGGAAATGTGCCTACTGGTGCCAAACTTTCACATGGTTCGACTGCTTGGGCTGATGTTAACGTGTATGTGGCAGAGAATTCTATTGCTTCAATCCATAGAGATATTTTGACAATATTGCTATTGCATCAGGAAATGAAAGTAGTAATGGCCTTTTTTCTCATGGCCAAGGAACACATGACATGGTTGAGATCAAACAAGAGGTAGTAGGTTTTCCTTAAGATTATGGTGGTAGTACTGAAAAGCATGCTGGAACAACTCCAGACCACAGGGAGCTATCTTACTTAGCAAACAAAAATGGAAAAATCAAGAGCTTTGCAACAGAAGTTAGGAAGAATTGAGTGTAAGGATGATGGGACTGACAATAGGGGAAGGCTAAGGATTCTGAATCCAAGGAGACTCATTATATTCCGGAAGAGGTGTTGAAAAGGGAATTACACCCAACCATTTACACTTGTCATGCTTTGCTTCATGACATGTGGGAAAAGTGAATAGTTCTTCTGATTCTGATAAGCTGCTAAATAAGAAGTTACTTGCCAGTTTCTGTGTTGGTTACAAAATTCACACTCTATTATGCACATCGCCCTAGGGTGCTATCTATTCAGGCTCTTTGTCTTCCATGCATAAGGGACCTTCAGCTGAAGGTGAACGGAAGCGTTGGGTATGTGTTCGGTATAATAAATGCAAATTTCAGATCATGGAGATGAGGGCTATTGGAGGAATCCACCAAGATTGTCTCCCAACCCCAATTTTAACCACCTCTTGTTACCCATTATGAATTCTATCTTAGTTTATATTTTATTGCTTTAATTATGAGTAGCTAGACTAATCTCTAGGTTGTGAACCAAATCTATGTTGTTTAACTAATGGGTAGTTGATTACTTGCTTTATCTAGATTGGGTTTATTATTATCTACTTGAATCTGTGTTCATTTGGCTAAATTAAGTGGATACCTACACTAAATCATTCCCGGTTAGCTGGGTCTTGCTTAGGAAAGTAGATTGAAGCTTGGGTTGATCTAATTACCCAAGGAATTGGAGATTGCTGGGAATAGCTAACCTCATCCCTGTTTCTTACTATATTTAGTTATTAATGCACTTCTGGCAGCTAGGAATGGTAATTGGAGTAGGCCCATCAACTATCGGGGTATTTGGCATCATATAAGGCCAGAGTAATTAGACTTAGGCTTAACTACAACCAAAATTTCTCCTTGTGGATTCGACTTGGATACTATCCAATATATATTGAGATGATTGTTTTTTTCTAATTAGAGGACACAGTTCGACGTTGTCAGCGCATCTAAGGGATTAGACCACATCCCTCGTATAAAAACAATGAAATTATTGTGAAAAGGCATGAATCTCTCTCTCTCTCTCTCTCTCTCTTGTTCGTCTCCTTCTCTCTCTTCATTTCCTCTACAATTCCTCTTCTCTATTCAAGTGTTCTTCATCATCTTCTTCAAGTTTTCATTGCATCCTAGCTGATAGTCATAGCTAATTTTCTTCTTCTACATAAGAGTGGAGTTCGTTGGTCGAATTAATGCAGACGTTTGAGTGATGTTCTTAGATTGAGTTTGCTTCTTAGTTCTATTTTCTGCACTTTCATTATAGCTTCTTCTTTCTATTTGAGCGGTAATTCCAGTTTACTGATCAGTATATATGAAGTACTAAATCGCTGAGTGCTAATTCTGTCATCTCCATTTGAATTCTGAATTATTACTATTGTGGAGTCAAATATGGGTAGTACCAAGGTTGTTACATCATATTTCAATACAAATTCCAAATATATTAAGAATTTAAGTTCCTCGCACAGACGGTGTAAAAAGATATTTACACAATAAGTAGAAAGTATTTGCAGGTAACTCTATTTAATAGCATTAATAACTAACCTAAAACAAAAGATAAGTAATTCACTATAACAGATTAAATTACACTCGAAGTGTAAAAAATTCAGTGCATATAACTTAAATCAATATATTAATTGGATTCCAGTTTTTTAATATTATCAGACAATTTTATCCGGTGGTAGCATGTCAGTTACCATTTTTACCAGATTACCAATTACTGATGTTTATCATTTATCAAGAGATTTCCCTGTAATTATCTAATTAGTGAACTGATTAATTACGCACCAGCAGTTGATCATCTCCACTATCGAAAAAGAAAAGTAAAAAAAGTGTATAATTAACGTACCGTAGCTTTCGAGTGTTTGCTCGTCTTTTAAGATACGGCCTTTATAGATCAATCTCTGATTTTCAGCAGGAATGTTTGCGTGCTGTACAAGAATAGACTTGAAGGATCCTACAGTCGAATCGAGGTTAACTTTCACGGAGAATTTCGAGCCGTTGGAACATCGAACGTTGATTGTAACACCTTCGCCGGCAACAGCACCGGCACCGGCGCCGGTGTTATTCTCCTTGTTTGAATCGCCGCCGACCATACTCATACTCCTCCTCGTGTGTAATTTGGGAGGTGTATTTTGGTAATTTCAATTGTTTGAACAGGAAAAAGAGTGCAAGAAATTGAAGCCCTATATGGGGAAATTTCACAATTCGCAGGCAGCTAGATATTAGAGACTAGAGAGAGACAAAGACAGAGATGCTATAACTTTTAAATCTTTTTTCCAGTAGAAATATAGAAATATAGAAATGTTACAAAGACCACGTAAGATACGTGTTCCTATGCTAAACCAAAAAGTTATTTAGTGGGCGTTTCGACATGAGAATTGTAAAATTCCGAAGAAAAAGAAATTAAGTGAAAATGGTATTTGAAAATTAAAGTTATATTTGAATATGATTATAATTTTGTGTTGCTTTTGAATTTTTGTGATTGATCTGACTGAAAACTTTGAAAAATAACTTTTTGAAATTTTTTAAATTTTCGTAAAATTTAAAAATTCATCAAGTGAAAATTAGAAATTTTATGACCAAACATTGATTTTGGAAAAAAGTGAATCTTTTTAAAAAAAATGAAAATTTTATCAATGCCTCACATGCTCTTTAATTATTTTTCCTATATTTGTTTAAGACCGTGGAAAATTGAACTAGGGATGAAATCAAATATTCACTATGTATAGACAATAATATTTAGTTATTAGAAAAAAATTGAGGAAAGGTATAAGTATTCTAAACTTTTGATCACACTCAACTATGCCTTATAAAAAGGACTAAGCGGTCGTTGCAAATATAATCCGGCTTACAAGTCCGGAGTAGAATCCCACAGAAAACTAAGACTTAGCTACAACTGTTCAATATTAACAAGAAGACAAACTTGAATAATTCCTAACTTATAGATATTAAGATTCTTGTATTTAACTAATTAACTAATAAATTAAAATAGTAAATTAACAACTAAAGATACTAAGGGTTAGAGTCAAGATTAAGGAGGTCTAGAGTTATGATTTTCCTAATTGTCGGAATCCTTCCCGCTACGTTTTCTATAAATTCGCCTAAGTCTTCTCTATCAATCATGAGCACTATGACTGTCGTAACTCTCTCCCGAGTAATTACAACAATATACTAGGCATATTCTCCCGAATTACGCTAGCTAGCTTTAATTGCAGCTACTTAGATCGCACCCAATGTTTCGTTATCCCTAATCTCACCTTTAAACCCTCCGTATTGATCCCTCATATATGTTAGGAGTGATGTTGTGCAACAACTACCTAAATATGCACTCTCTCCCGAGTAATACACATTAAATAGGCACAGTCGATTGAGGGCCCTTCAACCAACCACAATAATAACGTAGTTGAACAAATAGAGAAAATAATACGACAAATCTATATTAACATAACAGGAAAATCATCCTCCAATAGGTTCCATCAAAACCCCAGATAACAAATTAGCTATTCATAATAGTATGCATAACTACAATACTAGAATTCATAATCAATAATGAAAATAGGAAGAAGGAAGTGAAAAACTCGTAGAAGAATCTTCCGTCTTGCTCCCAATGTGTTCTTGCCTCCTTAGGTCGAATCTCTCGTCTCCTTAGCCTCCTTAGGTCTAAATTATGTCAAAGAATCCACAAAATAATATTTTTCCATGTATATATACCAAGTAGGATCGGGGCCAGACGAAAATACCTTCTCCCGCGTGAAATAGGACAATTACTCTATAAAATTTGTACAGGCGCGCCGCATGGGGCGACGCACTGTGCGGCGTGGCAGTGGGGAAGTTCAGAGAGCTGTTACCTGACAGACTATTGGAAAATTGCACAAATGCGGCACACTGTGCGGCGCGGTAGTGGGAATTTGCAAAAATACAAAAAATGAAAGTTGTATCCCATTTGAATAGCTTTCCAACGATATATTGTGGAGCCCAAACAGAGTTCTGAACGAAAAGTTGTGTGTATTTTACTAGACAATGCACCGCATGCCCGCTCGATTCTTTGTTTCGTTCTTAACTATCATCCGTTGATCCCCGAACACGATCCCGGCTTGATTCTTTGAGCTTTTATTCAAACTTCAAAGCTCTGAATCGCTTGAATTCATTCCATACTATCTACATAGCTCGGAATCACTCATACAAGGCATAAAATACACAATTTAGTGAAAAACACTAACAATTAAAGCTCAAACTCAATTAAAATGAAGTACATTAGAATGTAATAAGCGACAAAAATACGTAATTATAGCCGATCATCAACACCCCACACTTAAACCATTGCTCGTCCTCAAAGCAATCAAACGACACATTATATAGACACGACCTTTTTAAACAACTCTCCTAACTCATTACGCCAAGAATATTTAAAATAGACTAAGCACAATAGTGTAACATCTTCACCTCAAGAATTGACTCACAAGTACCACACATTATTCACAACTCACCCACTTACTCTAACATAGAGGTCACTGACATTATCTTTCCTTCTTGAATCAAGTGCCCTCACACAAAAAAGAGAGAATAGTTCCACACACACAATAAAATTTAAGAACAATTAGGAACTCAAGATAGAAAGAATTCACTCCCTCTCAGAAATAACATTCATATGCCACGAAAGATGCACCATAGGCTTGCCCGTAGTGTACTACTATACTAATCGAGCTCATTCAGTCTAGGATCAAGTAGGATTGTATTTGGTTGTAATGTAGGCTGAGGGACGGGTAGGATACATTTAGATATAAGAGTGACTATACCTCCCTAAGCACTTTAATACATACATTTTAACATTTAAAACACCACTTATATCCAACCAAAACTCTACCTTCACATCAATGTATATTACCACATTATTCTTTAAGCACAATTACATCAAGAGTTACCACTATCAAAGAATATTTTTCGCAAAAATACAACTATTTCTTTCTTTTTTTTTTTTTTACTTTTCCAATTCAAGTAGCTCTTACTTTTTCAAAACAGTGCACCTTTTTTCCTTATTTCATGAGTTCCACTCAAAAGCCAAACCAACCGCCCCACACTTTAACTTTTACAAAGTTCATAATAATTCAAGTGCTCATGAGAGGTTAAAAGGTTCAAATAGATGGTTAATTCAAACAAATGGGTAAAGCTTGTAATGTGGCTGCCAAAGAAATACGATTACAGGCTCAAAGGAGTTAACTACGATACATAACAATTAGGCGATTAAAATATATATATCTGGTTCAACAAAGAAACGTCTATATTACTTCCAAGACTAAACAAAACTACTATTTTGCTTTGCAAATACACGAGGCAAGTTCTAGACATCAAATGCAATGCATAGAATAACACAAAACCTTACACACATATGGCACATAACTCACTCAGGATTGGACTCATTAAGACACTCTAGTCAAAGTAGTTAAGCAAAGTTAAGATCATACAATTTAAGTTACTTCTACAAGAGTCAAAAACTGAGCGTAAGCATTACAACCAATGTACTCACTATTCTTAAGGCATAACAAATTCAAGAGATATCGCTGCAATTCAAAACACAACACAAGTTTTCCTATTTCTAACAAAAAATAAAAACTAACTACACCCGGTTCAAACAAAACCCTTGGAAAAGAACCGCGACACAAAGAAAAACCAAGGAGGAATTACTACACTACCTACAAAGAATTTTTTTTTTAGACTTAAATCTCTCAATAAAATTGTCTAGGATATCCATCATCGGGAAAAGTCCAATCCCTTTTTTCTTCGTTTTTCTAAAAAAAAATCAATTAAACTAACACAACTAAAATAGCATAGAAAGTCACCGAGACAATCTCCTCACCCCACACTTAAAATTGTGCATTGTACCCAATGTACACCATACTAATAAGAGGGTAAAAGAAACTCCCCGGTAGGCCAAAGGCCGGAGCACTAGTAGCTCATGGGGTACTCAGACTTCTCCCACGCTTAGTTCTTCATGCGGGTACCTCACACTTAGTTCCAACCATCTGGTTTACCGTTGCATCCTTCCAATAGCTTTGCTTTCCATGCTCCTAGAAAATAAAAAATCGACACTGTAAGCACGTGATTTTTGCTTCACGGGAATTACTCCAAAAGAAAAGAAAATCAAAAATATATGCATAAGTGTTTTTGTCATTGAGTGATTTTTATTTAATGTGTGGTAATTATTGTAAGGTGTTAACCAATGTGTGTGTAATTGTATTTTTAATTTTTACAATTTATTTAGGAGTTAGTTCAATTTTGGTAATTGAAGGAAAGAAAATGGTTGTGGAAAGTCGGATTGGGCCCCAAAATGAGACCCAAAACCAAAGCAAAGACCCAGTCTAAACCAGGCCTGCCTAANTTAATTTTTACAATTTATTTAGGAGTTAGTTCAATTTTGGTAATTGAAGGAAAGAAAATGGTTGTGGAAAGTCGGATTGGGCCCCAAAATGAGACCCAAAACCAAAGCAAAGACCCAGTCCAAACCAGGCCTGCCTAAGCACGCACCCAAACGACGCCGTATCGGTGCCTTGGTTTAGATATGTTGATATGATTTAAATGAACGGTCCTGATCAGACCGCCCATTTAATCATAACGACGCCGTTCAAGGCGTTTTGATCTGAGCCGTCCAATCCCTTTGATCCAACGGATCCAGGCCCGCCCTCAAGACCCGTTAATCTGATCCGACCCATTTCCTTACCTGGTCTCACCCACCTTCCCACCTAAACGACGACGTCTTGCCTAAAGGAATAGATCCTGACCATAGATCTCCCTTGATCCAACGACCAGGATCTAAAACTCTAAAGCGTATATAAACCCCCCATCACACCCCACGCCCCCTATCCAAG